GGGGGGGTCCCTTGGAAAATAATGAGAGATGGTGAGCAAATCCTCAGAGGGCGCATGGTCTCTTTTACTTGTTCATGCTCCCTCACGGAAAGAAAAACGTAGCCTACTTTCTTTCTTTCTTTCTTTTCTTTTTTYTTTCTTTCGTGGAAGCATCAAAAATCAGCACAGGCGCATTCCTGTATGCGCGTGGCCGAGATCACGTATTCGACGTGAACGCGGACTTGCACTTGAAAGTATTTTACGATTTTTTTTTTGATAGGGCGTTTACAAAGATTCCAATTTAAAAGTGCGCACGATTRTTTTGTTAATTGCGCACAGATATATTTAAATTCCAGCATCAGAGTTGTTTTTGTTTAATTTAAATAAATTTTCTGGCGTGAGTGAGAATTAAAAACTTGCTGCAACAGCTTGTTCTGTTATAGAAAGTTTCATCCAAGCGGTTTAGGAGTTACACACATGTTTGATCAGCTGTTCCGCCTCAGATGCAAACAATGAGTTTGTTTTGTTTCTGCAGGTCTGGTGTCACCCAGCAGGCTGAGAAAAACTCCACCCAACACATATTTAGGACCTCGGGGCAGGCGGAGCGGAGCGGGGYTTGGGTCTGCGCTGACAGGACTCTGGCACGACGAGCGCTGCAGAAGAAGAAAAAAAAAAACTTGAGAGGGACAAAGTCCACGCGAGCTCCAATGTGTGTGTGCGCGCGAGAGAGCGCGAGTGATTTCTTTTTCGCCTTTTTCACAGAAATGCTCCAAAGATGGCGGTGGTAGCGGCGGCAGGAGTCTCGAGTGGCTCCGGAGCGCAAAAAAGTGGACTGCTGGAGGTTCTGGTTCGGGAGCGCTGGCACAAAGTTTTGGCCAACTTGAGCGAGGACGCGCTGACGTTGAGCTGCGAGGACCGCGGCAGCCCCGGCTCGAACGGGGTCACCAGTGGCTCGTACCTGGACAACAGCAACGCCAACTCCAACAACGGGCCCCAGCAGGCGGTGCGCACCGCCTTCACGGACCTCCCGGAGCGGGTCCCCGAGGCCATCGCCAACAGAAAGCGCTGCGTCAAGGTGACCAAGCAGGAAGTCGGAGGACTCGGCATCAGCATTAAAGGAGGGAAGGAGAACAAGATGCCCATCCTCATCAGCAAGATCTTCAAGGGGCTCGCGGCGGACCAGACCCAGGCTCTGTACGTCGGGGACGCCATCCTGTCCGTGAACGACGTGAACCTGCGGGAGTCGACGCACGACGAGGCGGTGCAGGCGCTGAAGCGAGCCGGGAAGGAGGTGACACTGGAAGGTAGGGGGGCTCTTTAAGAGAGCAAAGATCAGAGGATCCCAAACTTTTTTCCCCCACATACCTGCTCCTCATCTGTGGCCTGATATGGGCTAAAATCAAAACAGATTTTGTGATTATTTATCTGATTTTTACTCTAGTTGTGGTATTTTTAGGCACCTCAGCCTTCATTGAAAAACAAAACAAAACAAAACAAAAAATTGCACTGTTACTTTTGAGAGTTTCTGGCTCTTTGCATCATGCTTCATCTTTCCACAGACTGATGTTAGGTTAGTGGCTGTCAGGATGCAGAAGCTCAAGTTTTTTTGTTTTGTTTTGTTTTG